AGGAATGTCATCGATGGAGCTCTTGGTCGGGATACCAGTCATACTTCACAAGCAGAGTCTGGGGCTTTCGTCATGTTCAAACTCCACGATCACATACGTGGGATCTTCTGGGTCCCCGAAGGCCTGGCGAACTTATCCCTCCTGCCCTCTAATGATGCTGGTGATCCTGGCGTCTGTGTCTGGAAAAGCGGCGCGGCCGGATGAAGGGAATCCAGTTATTACCTCAGCGTAGAAGTGGTCAGCGGCGGCTCTATCTCATCCTGCATCACGCTTAGCCGCAGCGTAAACAAGATGTTGAAGCAGTCGTGTTGGTGGTTTGCAGCCCAATCTTCATGGTAAGCATCCCAGTTCTGCTGAACGAATATCATGTCTTCTACTTCTACCACACATGCCCGCTGCCCGAGCTCACGCGGAAGAGTCTCGAGGCTCTCAACCTGTTGAAGGGCTGAGAAGCCCTGGAAATCTGCTCGATTCTTAGCCTGACGCTGGAACCATTTTCTCAGCTGCCATCTTGATAAAGAGGTCTGCATTACACGGATGCCGCTTTTGGCTCTACGGTCCTCGGACCCTAAATGTGCACGTCGGCGTTCAGCCATCTATGCTCTGCTTAAAAAAAAGGGCGACATCAACAGCGGGCAGCGCTCCACGTCCACGGAAACCCCGGCGCAACGCTGCCAGCCCTTGTTAGCGGGCCCCCATCGTCAGCCTATGCCGAATGCGAGGGCGTGGCACCACCTAGCAAGCACATCCACGTGGGCGCTTCAAAGCCCTGCAAGCGGAGCCATGCAGCTGCGCACTCTGCCTCCCTCTTGCTGGGCGGCAGCAAACGCCTCCTCGAACATCGGGCGCAGCAGGTTCGCGAGGGGCTGCGCGGGTGGCACTCCTTGAGCGCCCCTATGGTATGCGCCGCAGCCGACGGCAACCCAAACCCCCCATGCACAGTGGCAGGTGCGCCCGCGCGCTGGCTGGCGGTATCGCAAGCGCGGTATCCGCCCCCGAGAGCAGCCTGCCCAGGCACTCCAACACCGCTTCATCGTGCGCAGCTGCAAAGGAGGCCATATATCCGCCGGCGGGACTGAGCGCAGGAGGTAAGTCCAACGAGGGGCAGCACACACTGCAGATACGCGTGCCTCCTCCAGCGTGGCTGCGATGAACTCGCAGGTGCCGACACGGCTGCCCAAAACGACCAGGGTTGGCGTTCGCTCCGGGCCCGACGTGAGGTACACGTCATCCAAAAACGCGAATAGGCCTTCCCCGAAGTCGAACTCTGCGTGCAGGCGCGCGAGCGCTTGGTGCTGGCGAAGGCCGCCAAGCATGCTTGCTCCGGGAGATATGGTCGTAAGCCCACACGCCGTTTATGCTCAAAACTCTACTGTTGAATGGCACACTCAAGCCACACGCAAGAGCATTTTGGCCAAGATCGCACTAACAGCTACGCGTTTCGTCCTCTGGTGGGACTCGTTCAGGCTAGCGATCTGTAGCCGAAAACATCTCATGGCAACACACCTCACAAGCACATGAGCGCATGCGAAGTGTTGAAACACTCAGCGACAAACATGATTTTGTGCGCATAAAAATCATGTCTGCCCCCACGCCGTTTATGCTCAAAATAGTTGTGCGCGGGTCCGCTTCCGTGGCCGCCCGCAGCGCGCACCAAGGCCTCGGGTCCGCCCGCGTGCTGAGCGCGTACTGGAAAGGGGCACAAGCCTGCACGGCTCCGCGAACTGATGCGCGAATGTGCGACTGACGATCCGTCGAAAAACGTCGCCGACTTTTGTTTCCCACACACTTTTTTTCCGCTACTGTAGCCGTTGTGTCCAGCCATGTCCCTTGCGCGCGGAGGGCAACAAGCCGCCTGACCAGGTCGTTCCACCGCCCACCCACTGCGCAGCCGTGCATGCACAGGGTTTGCGTGCCGCTTGCAGCGAGCTCCGGGTGGGTGGTTTGCGTGCACCAGAGGGCGGTGCGCAGAACAGTTCCATCTTGCGTAGCCGCGCGGGCCCAACGGCTTTGCGGGCAACCTTGCGTCAAGCCCGCGCAATGAGCTTGGCCCGCCTAGTCAGGAGGCCAGTCCGGGGACATGCAAGCGCATGGTCTCCGAAAGCATCAGCGCGGCAGCCACACCCAGGTTCTGGGGCGCTCCCGCAGCGGCCAGGTGCGAAGGCGGCCCTTTGAGGGCTCAGGCGAAAACTAAGGCACAACTTCGTCACGTGGATGTATATCTGCGCATGGCGGTTGTTGTAATGCGACACCTCTCGCCTATTTGGCTCGGAATTGTGCCGTCATGCACATTCGGACCCATCTACTCGGGCAACAGGACTACGACGTGTGTCTGTAAACACGCTGGCTGTCGACAAAAATCGAAAAATGTCTTTGCTTCTTGTGTCGCCGGGCGTTGCCCAAACCACTGTGTCAGTTGTGAGGTGGTCTGCCGAGTCTGCCAGTCCGCGGCATGCTACTTGTACTGTTGGCTGTTGTGTTGCCGTCCTGTCGTACGAGATTTTTACGTGGCTCGCTGCACTCGCACATGTTGTTCTTGTCGTCGTGAAAGTATTTCTCCTCCTGGCACTGACCCTGGCAACGCTGCGCTATAATGCATGCTCGCTTCGCTTGCAATACTATCATGTATGCTTGCTCTCTTCGCGCGCTATAATGCAAATAGTACGCCCCCAATGTTGCTATTGAGAGAAAATGTAGTCAAATATTTTGATGTATTTCTCGTCGATCTATTCAGGAGCTGCAATTAGAGAGACCTCAAATGGGAATCATGCTTCGTCAGATGGACATATTTTCTCTTTCTCATGTTTCTAATTCTTCTTCATGGACTAAGCTCAATTTCTTTCCTATCAGGTGATGCTTCGGCGGCGCTTCGCAGAGCCCTGCTGCCAAACGGGTTCTCGTTTCTGTCATGCTCTGGTTGGGTTTCCGCCGCACGAACTGTACAAGCTCACGTTGCACTAATTGCTATGTTCGCGCAAGCGCAAGCAAGTGAGCATTCACGTCTCCGATGCGGTTTCTTTTTGCCAAACCCGAAGAACTCTGAAAGGCAGCCCCTGCTGAGCGGGCTGCACGTTGGCGGTTTAATTTTGCAGATCAGCCGTGATGTCTAAGCCACGACGCCCGTCAAGGGACACGACGGTTGCCCGCGGCTGGAGCTCTAACGCATCGCACGGCAACGCCGCGAGGCTATCGGTGCCGGTGTGGGTTTGCCGCGCGAAAAAAGGCCGTGTTCCCGCGTTATCCCGCGTTGCGCTCCCGGCCCCGCATATGCTCGCGCCAAAGCACGGGGGAACAGATACCCCTGACCCCTCCTTGCGGCTTGCGGAGGGCAATGAGGTGGGACCAGACCGGCGTCCAAGGCAACCGCGGGGTCTTGCGCACGAGCCGCGACGTTAGCCGCAAAAAGGCCGGCGCTCAGCTGCGGTTGCCGTCCCGAGGGATCGGTGAGTGCTTGGATGCGCCGTCGCCGGGGGCCAGGTGGCCGCAGTGAGGACTTGAGCTCCCCGTGGCCAAACCAACTTCCATCTAGCTGCAAGCAGCATTCAGGAATGTTCAAGTCGACTACTGTACAAGCCCAACGGATGCCACACAGAGTGGACTGATCCAGCCCCACCGAACCCTAGGCAGCCGTTACTCGTTCTTTCCCACGGTACCACCAAGTGTTTCTCCCATTTTCTCCTCAACCAGATGGGGGCCGAGAATGACACACACGACAGACACGACGCAAACAATGTGCATGATGTGGACGCCTTTGACATCCTTTGACTGACTCAAAGCCACTGCCACCTTCATGTTTCTACAGGTCTACAGTATATGGCTTCCTGAAATGTCATGTACAGATTTACAATGTGCAGTGAGTTGCCTGCACTGAGACCGTCAAAAACAATCAAAACATTTCAATACGTCAGAGGCCTGTCTCAGTGATCGCCCCACGCCTCACTCGTGGTGCGCTGCAGATTCCGCCCTTTTCATCTTTGCGGTGCTGGCATATTTTTAATTTACTCGTTCAACTTGAGCACAGCTGCTTTAGAAGCGCTTTGGGAAAGTGAAACAAGCTCCTTCCGAAGCGCCCGTATTGAGCGCGACAAATCCGAAGCCCATCTGAAGATCTGAAGCCCATCTCGTTTGCGATGCAGCGCAACATGCTAGGGCTGCTAGGGCTCACGATATCCCCCAAGTCACAGGATGGCACAACAGCTTTTCTTGACCTGCACAAAGAAAATGTCAAGAGAAGTGCGCCAAAAAGTGCACCCCAAGGCCCAAGGCTCCGCCTTGATCGTCTCATCTGAGCTGCGATGTGGACAGTAGACCTTCTTGCATCCCTGACCTTTAGCTGCCGCTGCACACGATCTGCGCACTGGGCACATTGCTCTTTGCAGCACCAAGCTCTTTCTGAAACTGCAGCAGCTTCTTGAGATTCGGGCAGCAACACCAAAAGTTTGCACCTAAGAATCGCTCTCAAGCCAACAAAAGCAGATCTCTACTTCACCGTGCATTGGCAGTCACTGGCATGGTTCAAGCTCCCTACTCCTGGGCATACGCGCACAAGTGCCGGCAAGACATACAACGCTCAGCAACCTTACGCACCCACCCTAGACCCCCCTTGGCAGTCGTGAAGACACTCAGACGAAGCAACAGACTGGAATCTCAAGAAACCGATGTAGAACCGTTGCGGACCTGCTGGGCCCGATTAGCCCATTGTTGAGGGATCTGCTAAAGACCTGAATCGCTGCGAATATTGCCGGAATTCTACGCACCCGCCACGTGTCCGGAAAGCGGCGCTTGATTCTCAATTCTTCAACCACTTAGAATACAGAGTACCAACATGGTCCCGGAGGCCCTGCCGTGTGGCGTAGCTTAGGTGGCGCGCGAGACAATGTTACTATGATCAGGAGAACAGTATGATAAATTTGCACTGGTAACATGGTAGTCTTGGGGCGCGGTCGCCGCCATGTTAAATTCGACCACGCATGCATTAACATTGTCAAGCCATGTCACGGCTACAAACTGCTTAATATCGCCAATGTTTTGCAGTTTAGACGTGGGTCAAAGCACAAACTTGGAGCCCAACATCCACGACAACATCCGAGCGTTGGAGCGCAAGCGGAGTCATCCTCGAACGCAACGAATCAAACATGATGAAGCTAGCGCAAATCATGCCGGAGAACACAGCAGCGCTACCCGCTACCCCTGTTCTGCGCTTGAACCCCAAACATTTCGAACCTGGAGGCCTTCACGTGCAGGCTGAGCGAGTTGATGTCGACGGTGCGATCCACAACCCCTATCCTGCGTCGGGAAAGCATGATTTAAGCAGCTATAAGTTATGAGCTGCTTGACGTCCGTATTGCAAGCAAAACCGAATGCACTGAATGCAACAAAAATGCGCTCTATGCCAGATTTGACAGTACACCACGGTCCGGAAAACTTTGCCTAAATGGCAATAGTCGATCGACAACCCATGGGATGAAACAGAGCATGTAATCACGCTTAAACACAGCTACCATCCCAGACCAGACCAACACGTACTGTATACAACGTATACAGAGCAGGCTTCAACAGAGAACCCTGTCACACAAAGCAACCACTTCAAGTGACTGGCATTCACTGGCCTACTCCAGTTTTGGATGAAATCACTCCAGCTCCTGCATGTGTGAACCGAGTAGGCACTGCACGCACGAAAGCAAGTTACAGAGCTTCGGGCATCCAAAATGCGCCATCGTCAACATCCTCAAACTCCAGCTGCTTCTTGACCTGACGCCGCTCGGTTGCAGCTTTGCGGTTGCAGTGGTGGTTGCAATGGTTGCAGCTTTTGTTTGTGGAAGCGACCGCAGTATGCTCTTCCCAGAGCTTGCTCTTGTCGCTCCAGTCGCCTTTCCACTCTCCTTCGCTTCACTTGGCTTCACTTGGCTTCACTTGGCTTCACTTGGCTTCACTTGGCTTCATCCCAAATCGCTCCTGCCCCCCACGGATTCCGGATCTGAATCATCTTGTAATCCTCTCAAATTTGCCATGAATGAGACATGAATGACCCAAACAGCTTTCATAACGCGTCCTTCCCTCCGATGCCCATGAACCCATCGTTCACTTTTCTCACCTTCACAGGGGTCTGCTGACTGCAGCCGACTCTTCATGTGACACAGGACGGAACCGTACGGAACTTCGAGCCTGGAGAATGCTGTAGGCATGGCCCGTCACCAAGCCATCAGCACCACTGGATCCTGAAGCCGATAGTATACTGCCTGGCGCCGACCCAGCAAGGACAGGACTGTGACGACCATGTGGCCGCCCTACTTGTGCTCGCAGGGGTTGTGGACATTGTGGACACTGTGGCCAGCAGTACTAGCCGTTACTAGCCAGTGTATGATGGCAGCACCAGCACAAGAGTGGCTTCTCGGCCTGCGCATGAGCTCAGAGGAAAACTCCAACATGTCAGGAAGACCCAAGCTGTGGTACTTGCGCAGGATCTCAAACCTGAGACACTCTTTTGCATACTCTGGTATGGCTGGCAATTTGTTGCACCAGCAATCGACAGCTTCGAGACATGGTCTCATTGTCGATCTTCTCGTCGCGCGCATACAAACCACACTTGCGCTTGTCATGCGGATCGTCAAAGTTTTTCAGGTCCTTGTTTGAGACAGACCGCTGCATTTGGAACGGGAAGCACTCGAATGCCTGTTCTCAATGCTCTCGTAGGTCCTTCCGTTGCCAGTTGTCGCAAGCATCGCTTCGGTAGAAGAGCCGCCTGACTCGTTCACCATCCACTCAGATCATTGTGCTGAGAGAAACCTTGAAGGAGTCAGGCCAATCAAGTCAAGCAACGCTGGGTCTCCTGTCATCGCGCGGATGGCCCAGATGGTCTGGCCGCCCTGAACAAGTCACCAAACAAGGCCTTAGACGCAGAAGCGACGCAGAAGCAAAGCAAAATCAGAGCCTCTAAAGCAGAATATCCGCCACAGAACTTGGCGAAGGCCTCCGGGCTTCAAGTGGGTTTGGCTAAACCTCGATATTCGAAGCACTGCAAGGGTGGGGGGATTCGATGGGACTACTATGTAAGACAACGCAAGAGATTTCAGGACGTCCTTCTCCATGAGCATCACATACAGCTCGTTCTTGTTCGGCTTGCTAAAAAGAGGCTTGCAAGTGCCATCCCGTTCGTGACTTGCCTGTCTCGCGGCACTTCGAAGCGCATCTGTGGTCCGAATCAGGCGCAAACCTTGCCTTGTTGCATGGAATGTAGTCATCAATAATGATGATTTCCCACTTCTCCTCCGCGACAGGCCAAGGAAGTGCAAGGATCAACAATGTCAACACTTGCAAGTTTGCCTACAACACTACGCCGTCACCAAGCGCTCAAGAACCCTGTGCCTTTGCACCATCGAATAGCCGAAGGACGTACTTGCCACGAGGGTTTACCTCCTTCGTCCTGGCAAGAAAGGAAGGCTTCTTCTGGACGACCTCTCAAGACTCTCAAGGGCCCAAAGATGTGGAATGCAGAGGGTGCCAGAGGGGTGCCAGAGGTGCCTGAACACAGCTTGAATCGCCCCTTTGTGCTCTGCTAAGCAAGCGATCGCTGCCAGAAGCCAGCAGTCTCCCAGAGCACCTCTCCCCAGAGTGAGAAGCACAGAAGCTCAAGGAGAGGAGTTTAAGCACAGAGAATCACCCAAGTCACCCAGCCCCAGAGAGCTCTTGCCTTGACAAATATCCCTGCTGTCCACCTGCTCACCTCGACGACCAGACTCCCCATCACTCCCATCTCCACTCCCACACCCATGACCCCAGAGAAGCCTGGCTTCTCCGACTCATGACTTCACTCAAAAGGGTCGTCATGTTTCCTGAGGTGGCAGCTGAAGAGCTGCATGCGGCGCTGTCGTCCCTGACATGTCACAAGACAACGGGTGGGCAGCCGAGTGTGTGACAACTCGCATGAGACTAAGCGATATCCATGCAACCTATGCAACTTCTGAAGCATACCTGCTCCTTCGCATGCCCATGCCGAGTCCAGCCTCCTTGTCTTTGGGCACTGGAAATCTTCCGCCCCTCGCGTGCTATACTGGCCACGGGTACAGCGCTTTGCCTGCCCTATGAGACTCGGCGAGTCTGGTGACAATCAACACGAGTCGTGCCTGATCCACTTTGCTTGACCAGCAAATTTCTTGCCTGTCAGCACGCGGCAGCGCGGCAGACTTTAGGCCAGAGCATGCTGAGCATTGATATGATGCAGGTGGATACCTAACAGCGACCAAACCAAACCTTCTTCTCTGTCACCAGCTGCGCTGTCCCCTTTCACATCTCCGAGCGAGGCATCTTCTGGAGGGAAATCCTGGCTGCATCGAGATGCGTTGATGCGTTGGGATGGCACGCACGGTCCTTGTCCGTGTACAGCCAGCAGCAGTTGAAGGCTCGGCAGAGACAGCAGCAGAACTTGTATAGGCCGCGATTGAGGTAGACCCGAATGCATCCACAGCCTGCAGTCGCACCGAGCTTAATCGGAGACGTGTGTAAGTCGTGTGTAAGTCTTGGCAAACTTCAAGGACATGGTAGCAAGAGACGAGCAACAATGGCAGTCAAAACGAGCGATCCTGTTCCTTGCTACTGCTAGTAGCTGGCAGTTTGTTTCTCCGAAATGGTGCATCTAAATTGCGCGGCTACATTGTCGTGCAGCCTGACTACGCAGGACTGATGTCCACAAGCAGCCCACGCACAGCAGTTTGCAGAGACTGGATAAGATTTGAACCTGGCGCTCTCATACAAGTATCTTTTTACTTGCGCCTGCACTTCAGCAAAACTCGTATGTCGGCAGCGTTCGCAGATGCTTTTGGGGGGTAGGGGAGACTTCAATGTCGCTCAAACATTAGCACTAGTACGGAGGAATGGAACGGCATGAACTACCACGAGACCACATGTTTGCTATGCTTTGTGGCTAGTGCACTGCAAACAAACCTTAGGCAGCGCACCCTCTGGGTCTTCTGTGGCACGTGTTACAGAGGTTGGTGGGATTGTAATATGTTTTTTGGATTCATCCCTGACTTTTGGATTTTGGTTCGCTGTTTGTGCCCTTTTTGGGGGTAACTCCGTCTTCTGCGCCGTTTGATGTTGGGGGTTCCTTTGCCTCCCCTATCTTTTTGTTTGGGGCCAGCTGTGCTTTTTCTCGCCTGCGCTCCTTCGATGTATGGTTTCTTCTTTTGGCTCCTTCGGTTCGGGTGTTAGAGATTGCCCAACATCCTCTGTTGGGCTTTTGGTTTGAGCTCTTCTTTCAATCTTCGTTTAGGGTTTTTGGGTTTGCCCACCCAACATCTTTGCCCACCCAAGATCAACCAACATCGGGTTTGTATGTTTTAAGGCTTGCCCACCCAACATCTTCCTTTAGGGTTTAGGCCTTGCCCACCCTACATCTGTTTTTAGGAATTCGGGTTTGGGTTTGCCCACCCGACATCTTCAGGTTTAGGGTCTGCCCACCCAACATCTTCCTTTAGGGCGCAGGGCTTGCCCACCCAACATCTACTTGCAGGGTGTTGGGGCTTGCATCTTGCTTTGGGTTTAAGGTTCGTTTAGACTTTAGGGTCTGCCCTCATGTTGCAGTGGTGAGGGTTTGCCCACCCAGCATGGGCGTTTGCCATCCCAACATTTTCAGGTTTTAGGTTTTCCCACCCAACATCTTCTTTTTGGGGTTGAGTTTGCCCGCCCAACATCTTCGTTTAGGGTTTAGGCGGTTTAGGATTTGCCCACACAACAGTTCACGAATCGGGTTTGCCCACCCAACATCTTCAGGCCTTGGGTTTGCCCACCCAACATCCTCCGGCTTATATAGGGTTTGCCCACCCAACATCCTCGAGTTCAGGGTTTGCCCGCCCAACATCTTCAGGTTCGATTCGGGCTTTGGGGTGTGGAATCTGGAGTGGCAGGGCTGTTATTCTTGAGCTTTTGAGGGGGCTAGGGTCTGCCCCCGTGAGGGATTGTGAGTAAAGCAAGGGAAGGGAGAGGGTTGCCAAGCGTACTATTGGAAAACACACGTGCCTGGCGGCTGGCGGTATTTCAGGAGCAACAAAGCTTGGAAAAAACACAGGTCGCCCCAGGAAAAAAGTCTCAGCCCATGGAGATTAACCCTCTTTGAGAAGCAAAGCTCTGAGGCATGGGCAGTAGATGCTTGTAGCCCAGATACAGAGCACAAAGGGACAGCAAATCACGTTGTAGAATCTGCACCTTGAGACTTCAATTTGTAAGCGTGTCAATGAGTCAATGAGCAGCGCAGCAGCGTAGCGATCATACCACGACCACTCAGCATGCCGCGCACGTCCGGTTAACAACTTTGACCAGCAGCAGCACGCATCCTCAAAGCGAAGGCACGGAATTCCACAAAAGATCCAAAAACTCCAGCAGCTACTGTTGCACGGCTCCCAGAACCCAAGCCACGAGTGTTTGTTGGCTGCAACGCGTGCATGTGCAGAACATTGCCGCAAAGTCACCTTGAAGTCAATCGCCATGTGGCTTTCGCGCAAACTTGGGTACTAGTACAAGTAGTGGTTCTAAGTGAATTTCACAGGATGTCTGCATCTGTTCTCTTTGGCAGCTGCCCGAGTACTGTTCTTCTGTGGCTGCAGCGCGGATGGCATGGTATTGGATGCAAGCTACAAGGCTGTGGCATATTGCAGAAGATATAGCAGATGCAACACAACACAGCTCAATGCAACAGCCAGTCGCCACCAGTTTCTTCGCACAGGCTCCCAGATGCGATCTTTGAGCATCTCGGTATAACGAGCCCAAAGCAGCCCACAGCTTGCATACGACATTGCATCTGCAAACGGGGACAGATGTGTTAACGGCACGTTAACAGTGTTCTCTCGCATTAACGGTGCGGAATGGCACGGGCCATGGCCTTTTGGCAAGGGTGGCCTCGCGCCCTAGCAGCTAGCAGAGCACGTCTCTCATTGGCTCTCATTGGCTCTCATTGGCCGCATCAGTCAGAAGGCAAGCACAATTCGCTTTGCGATGCCTGTGCCTTCAGACGAAGCAGCCTGCCCCCATTAAATTTGGAGCGGCTGCTTTCTCCCATTCAGTGCGTGAAGAGCCTATTTCGTCTGCCTGACCGCACAGCTGCAGAATGCTCAAGCCATTTAGTTTCCGTCAGTCTTCCTATCCCTACAAGAACGTCAACGGCCTGCATCGTCACGATTCTCTTCCTGAGCAGCTTCCGGTACCTCCTGTAAGGTGTAAGCTCGCTCTCTAAGGCGCTCAGGCTGTCCAGAAGATACCCAGAAGATGCAGAGTCCTGCTAGTGGCTACTGGATGCTAATGGCTCCTCGACTTGTGGCCCTCTGGAATCAAACAGCGCAAAGTTATCCTCAGGGAAACAGGCGTGCACCTTTGACAATGCGTTCGAACGGTCTTCCCATGTCTTAGCCACGCACCATCTTGCTCCAGGTGCGCTTCATCTGACAGACACAAATAGACATTTAAAAAACAAAGAAAGCAACAAAAACAACATCAAAAAATCAACGAAGACTTGTCTGCTGTGAGGCTTCGCGGCCTTGACATCTTTCTTCCATTTGGTCCGTGGCGCTGGCTCGGTTTCCTGGTGCCGCTGAATCATTTCATACATTCCCATACAAATAAATATGCTATTTCGATCTATTTTGGTATCTTATGCGCACCGAAACAAAAGTGCGAAGTGTAAGGTGCAAGCGGATCGTGGTCTGGGCGGTAGATCCGCAAAACGAACGGAAGGTCTCACAGGATCTGTCTTCGCTGACGGAGATGCCTCAGACCTGCGGAACATCGCATCGCGAAACATCGGGCAACTTTTCACTGATGCGGCGATGGTTGCAGGCTGCGAGATGCGATGCACTGAGGCAGCATCTCATCGGTTCTGGCCGTGAGGACTCGAGCCTCACATCTCAAGCGCATGAATGCTAAGTGAAGAACAAAAGCCTTCGAATGGCCTCATCAGAGTCCCTCTCAGGAATCGGAGACCTTGTCATGAGCCAGGGCCAGGGCCAGAAAGTAATCAAAAGAGGCTCGTGGGCTCAGAGGCCAAAACCACTCTTGTGGCGCTGCCCGTGTCATGCTTGAAATTGCTTGAACGATGTTGTCAAGTCATTTTGAAGGTATCAGGAGGTGCCATTAATTGCCATAGGCATGTAACCGGAGGCTTCAGATAATAGCATACATACGTAGCAATTTCTGGTCTGGCCCTCTGAAAATTTATGGAAACATCAAGCTATGCCACCCGCCTCTTTCACAATCGAAGCACACTCTTCACCATCACACTTCACTTGCGACGGCGTGTTTTCAAAGAAAACGATAAAAGCACGGCGCTGGCTCGTGCTCAGCTTCTGGCAGGTCTCCAAATACGGAAGATGTGACCTGTGTCTGCTACTTGGGCAGTGCCCGAGTTAATCTAGGTGTGCCAGACAAACCGACACTGCTTCCACGTCGGTGGAAGCTTAGGCAGCAGCCTTGCTGTGCTCGTCCAAGAGCGACATCACCTTGTGGTCTACATTGCTCTACACTACTTGGGACGAATTTGAACTTGAACAGTCTAGGCTTACAGGCCGTCACAGGCATTGTGGACTGACAAAGGCTAGTCAGGTGACATCCACAGGCTGGAAAGCAATAGGAACGCCCATTGAAACCGGCAAACACAAGACGAACCATACTGCAGTACCAACCAATACCTGTAGCAAACTCAGAGGCAGCACCACTGGAGCTGGAATGTCGTATTCCTGCCGTTGTGCAAGCTATTGCAACTGATGAAGACACATTGCCTTGCAAGCGATTGCCAGTCTCACCTGCCCGAGTAGAGTGGCCAACTGGATTATGTATTCATCCGGCTCATGAGAATCACTTTGATATGCTCGATCGAACCTGAGAACATGAATGTTGCGTGTCTTCAAGCTGACCTTTCAAATGTGCGTTGACGCGTCAGGTGCGGACTGCTCCATGTCAGATGCATCTCGATCATGAATGAAGGCTGAGACACAGGAACAAAGGAGGCGACACACACCGAACATTGCCGATGAACCAGACTTGAGTTTTATCCTCAGCCATCGGATCATGTTCGAGCCTTCCTCTTCTTCTGGTCGATCCTTCGATTCCTGCACTTGGGAATTTTTTAGGAAGCTTGCGCCACGACAAATGCTCGCGAAGAACAATGTGCCAGGCACTAATTGAGGGACGCAGCAAACCCCAACAAAACTCTCAACCTTGCTCTGATCCTCCAACAGCATGGGACCGAACGTGTTCAGCAGGAACATCCCGAAGATGGACATGCCTTTGGCGTTGTGCTCGGAAAAAACTACACGCAAGGCCTGGAGAGAGACTGCCGAAGAGACTCCGTGCAGAAGAACTAAGGCACACGCAGAAAATGTACAGCCGTGCCGCTGTAAAGATGAATTGGCGAGCCTGCAGTTTCATTCCACACCTGCAAAGCACCTGCAAAGCACCTGCAAAGCACCTGCAAAGCACCTGCAAAGCACCTGCAAAGCACCTGCAAAGCACCTGCAAAGCACCTGCAAAGCACCTGCAAAGCACCTGCAAAGCTAGCAACGTGGTCACCACGCCTCGCTCCTGTCTTCTCGTGCTTCATCCTTCCAAATGTTGGGACAATGCATTCCAACTCTAGCGTAAGCTGAGATGCCGGTATCCAAAATTCCATCACGGTTTCGCTGCACTTGTCTCGTCTCCTGGAAGAAGCGTTGATTCACAGGCACAGCACCCAAGGCTCCCTGGATGGTGGCCTCACGCCAGTTCAAACATTCAAAACTCGGTCTCTAAATTACTAAAGTCAAAGGCACGTCAAGGCTGTCGAGGCCCATGCTCGAGGTAGGACAGAGAGAAAGCAAAAGCACGCATCCGCAAGCATTTGCCGAAGACCTGGTATAAGTGGGCGCGCTGAGCAAGCAAGGACATTGAAGTTGAACCGGGTGCTCTCAACAACAGACTGCGCGACGGCCATATGCTACCATGTTGGGCGCTCATGTCGCCGCAAAACAAGGTCCATTGCCTTGGTTGTGTGTTCTGCGTTGATCGACAGTTGCTCTGACCTTGTGGGCAGTCAACGGTGATGTAAGCACATCGAATCACACAGATGGCCACGTTTTGCCACGTTTGCACTCCACAAAAGCAAACACTCGTCATGCTGGGCTGCGAAAGCGAAACATTTTCACGGAACACTTTAAGTAGCCTGGTCGATGCTGTACAGCCCGAATGCAACTAACACCCCACGCTTGCGAGTCCGAGCCTCTAGGGATCACTACAGTCAGAGACTCGAGGACATAGAGCTCCCAGAACCGAGATATACTATCATGATGTTGCCGAGTGATCTCTACACCTTTTATGTCGAGAGCATACGACCTAAAAAGAGTACTTAAAAGTCAGACTTTTTTCAAGATCGGAGAGGTTGACATTGTTGCGCATGTTGGCACATCAGGGTCCCGGGTGCCGGCTTAACGAGAGATGCCACAAATATGACAGTGCATAGGACAGAAGATGTGAGGAGAGAACATATTCTTATCGCACTCAAGAAATCCCACTCAAACAAGCGCCCTTTCTACACTCTCTTCACTCTAAAAAAAGAGGAAGAGAGAAGGAGTGTTAAGGCCCCCGGCACTGACCAAGACTCCAGCAAAACGAGCAAGAAGTCCCACCGCCTTCCACAACAGCTTGCCAGAAGTTTTATCACGGATTGTCACGTTTTGTGTTGGACACTTCACGTTCGAGTAAGAGCGGCGCCAGAATAGGAAGTACCGTTACCAGGTTCGGAAAAATGGATGGACCTGATCACGAAACATCAGCAGTCAGAGAATTAGCATCGCACCTTTTTCCACCACCAAAGTTTGTCCAAGTGCCCGAGCTGCACCATGTTTGGAAATGTGCATCCAGACGAAAAACAAGCAAGACAACTCAGGTTCTACACCCAAGCTCCCTTCAACAGCAACATAAACATATGCATTGCAAGCTGGCGTATATCTGTCTATCGCGCAGAGCGCTATTCGAAGCAGAAGTCACGAAACGGTGCAAGGGACCCCGAGGTGCAGGCACAAGTTGATGACCAGACTTGACCAGCAAAGAAACTTCCGAGATGAGTTTTAGGGTTGGACCTGTTAAACTGCAAGGGGTTGACTTGCAGCCGGCCATGCTGGAGGTGGAGAAATGTGGAAAGTAGTGCATAGCCAAGGCAAGCAGTTGCTGCAAAAGCAGCCCGTCTGGGATAGCACAATCTAGGAATCTAGGACGTGAAGCGAACGCATGTCGCACGTCGAAGCTTGTAGGGACACCATGTGGCACCCGAGGCTTCGAAGATCCCGACGAGTTCATAGATGCCCAACTAGGGTGGGCCAGCGCAGAAGCAGGCCGCGTAGCACAACGAAATCCTCCAAGACACCCACTCTCCGTCACACGCAACGCAGAGATTCAAAAGCCACATACGGATCAAGAGGTGAGGGATTTCAAGGGGCAGGCGCAGCTGTATGCCGGCTGCATCCAGGTACACCTTGTCCTTTAACTCAGACGGGAACCCGTTCACGGCATGAAAGTAGCAGAAAGCAACACTCACGGTCGGACGATTCAGCCGGAAACCTGTCAGAGGACCGAGCCACAGCACAGGGCCTGGAGCAAAGGAATATCGGTGGAGGGGCTTCTGGGGCTTCTGGGGACACAACAAGACCCTGGACGACACACTTTGGTCAACAGCCAGCAACACAACCTTTACCTGGAGGCAGGTCACGGCAGCCAACCGCGTTGCCGGGACCGGTGAGAAACTTGCAAGCTGATCACGCGAAGACGCGTCAAAAAGTTGGCGCGGCGGTGAACCAGTGCAAGGAAGCGGGAAGGAGACGCAAGGAAGGATGATGATGGGATGCCGTTGCTTCGGATGTAGGGGTCCTACACGGCCGCTTGTGGACTCAGCGGACATGGGTTTGGGGAACTGAGGTTGGGAACGGTAGACGGGGGCTTCTGCGGTGGTCCCAAGCCCGTCGGCCACAAGTCCAACCTGCCCAGGCAAGGGGGGGAAAGGGAGCACGGGAGCACGGGCATCAGATGGCATGAGCCAGAAGCTCAGCAGGAGCTCAGCATGTGGAACGTTCACGTTCCAGCACGGTATTTGGAAGCACCTGCCAAGCATCCAGTCATAAAGGAACGGACGAATCGGAAGAAACAACATCAAATAACACGTTGGTCAAGAATCAATTGAGGCTAAAGGACCTGTTTCCGCAGAATTCTTTCGCCGTTTGTCTCTCCCAGATTGCCGCAATCGCTGTTAAACTTGTTCAGAATGTGACAAGCGGGACACGTGCATCGCCATTCGACGCCCATGTAAATGCATGAGTGTCCAGCACATCGCGCTCTTCGAAACATCCCATCTGGATCACATCCCATGCAGTACTCAGATATGACACCATCACGGAGTTGGGCAAAGTGAACCCAAACTCAACCAACAAGGCCTTCACTTAGCCTCTGAAGCGGCACGGCCGGCAACGCTGCAAATGCTGCGAATCAAAAGCCGGTGCATCTCTAGACTACGTTGAGTGTCGGCTTCCTGCGCAAAAAAGGCTTTGCAGACCCTTGCATCTCAGCACGGATGTCATCAAAAATCAGTACAAAACATTACCAGTTGGGTATGAGTCGTTCGCGTTTCTCTGGGCTACCTCAGGTTTGAGATTTAGACATCCGTGAGCGACCGCCCTTGTTGCAAAACCTGCACCTGCAATCGGCGCTTCGTAAAGCACCTCCTGCAGCTCCTGTCTGTGCCGTTTTAATGGAATGCCACAATGTCCTCGCGGTCTCTGCACGCATCGCGGTCACGGCATCTGACAGCCATGTTAGCTGCACTGTGGGAGTGGTACTTATGACCAGTGAGCACTTCGCTCAGTGCGAGATGGCATGGTTGGGGGTGTCGCCATGTCTAGCCTGCAGTATTGGACTGTACGAAGGTGTAGGAGTGGCCATGATCTCCGCCATGCAGTGTAAAGCTCTTGAGATGCCTGATTCAAGCGGCTGCAAGAGCCTTCTCATGGCCGGAACAATCAACCTCTGTCGTACAACTGTCTGAGAACCGGGCTCGTCTTGCTGCCCAGCATAGCAAAAAGCACCAACCTGAATCGCGCACTCTGTGGGAACAGAAGAACTCTTCTTCTTTGTAGATGACTCAGTCATGCACTGCGCAAACACCCAGACTCCGCCCATGATTGTTTCAACCTGCAGGACAAGGTAAGCCTAGCTCCAAGAGAAAGCATGGTGTGAGCTCTCGGGATTGTGAAAGCTCAATTTCTGAGCTGAATTTCTCCGCGCGTTGTTGAGATTGCCCAAGTTCTAGTCAGTCACATCATGTTTACAGGGGCAATTGCAAGTCAGTCCTGCGCCAGGATCTTCGGGCAGTGGCTTTCGCAAAACATCGCGAAGGTGGATCCCGTGACCTTGCAACAGGTAGGTGAAGTGGCAAAAAGCCCCCCCATCCTGGAATCTCTTGAAAAGCCTGTTTTGGCTTGCGGAAGTACTTTGGAATCTCTAAGCCTGTCACGATGACCATGAGCTCTGGCTGAAAGAGCGAACCACAGCCTCAGTCTCGCCCCGAAACAAGAAAGCCAAACACCACAAGCGCAGCAACCAATTCCTCAAGACTGCTCAGATACTTGCCAAAGAAGAGCGGCAGTGTCCTCATTCGTGACAGTTACAAGAGGATGCTGGTTGGGAAAACACAGCCATGCTTGAAACGGGCATCTTTTATTATTATAAACAGCACACAAACTTGTCAAACGACGCCCTTCCCTGGCTCACCAACTCCCAGCTTCATTGGTCAGCGACTCACAACTGCTATGAACCCGTTGTTCAGGCATCTCCGCAAGGATTGTGTACTACAGGGCCGACGTCGAAAAAACCTCCATACACACAACAAAGGACCTATCTTCTTTGAGCCGGCTCTTGTGCGACGATACTTCCAATCTGAGCTACTGAGTGGGCTTCTTTCGCGACTGGTTTCTCTTAATTTGTTTCTCAGTTTCTTTGGTTTTGTCGGGGAAAAGCTCTGTTGCCTCGTTCATTTGGTCAATTTCCTTGGTTTCCCTGAGAAAACTCTATATCGCCTGACTAATTTGCAGAATGTCCTTGATTTTCCCTTGTTTTGGTTTCCCTAAGAAATGAATCCCACTGCTTCTAACCTACATTCATACTCATGATGCAACGCTCTCCCATGCGGACACTGTGCCGCAGCGCATGTACTCCACTCCGGGATGGGCGGGAGGGAGCCGAAAAACTTCACATCCGACACGTCACATCATGCGAAGCCATGATGCAACGCTCTCCTGTATCTCGTGGCAATCGACAGCGCTCAAAGATGAGTTTGGATGTCAGGCGGCATGCGGACACTGTGCCGCAGCGCATGTACTCCACTCCATACCCAGACGGGCCACATCGCGAGCTTCGGCCTAGCATGTCACGCTTGAAGAGCGTCGCAGAGAAACATGAAGCCACCAGAATTTTCCTTCGAACTCGGGGCGGCAGCGAAGGCAGGAGACTGACCGCTGCGGTCTCCTGTAGGCAATGTTCTAACGTCACAGCTGACCGGAGTCTCATTCTCCATAATGGCTCACCCACGGTGGCGCCGTTGTGAAAAGCGGCGATCGCTCCACCAGAGCGCAAACTTGCGGGCGTGAGCTGTACTGACTTCTCGATGCCAAGAGCTGCGAGTAGCTTGTTCCACCTGCGTCTGAAGACTCCAGGGCTCCCAGGGTATAGCAACTCATCGCGGTCAAGGTGTTGCCAGTGAGTTTCCAGGAACCTCATTACTGCTCGGTCGATCACCTTGATATGCTGTATCTTGGCTGCTCTTCTGCGAGACCTCGGTCGCACCACTTTGATGTACAGAGCTGGGTGGTCCGGGTTCCATCAAGTCCTGCGGGGTGAGGGCGTGTCTGCGCTTGGCTTTAAGTGTCTCTCCCGGCCTTGCGATGCCGTAGAAGATAGCAGCGGCGGCACATGCCCAACGATGCCACCCCAGCTGAACCGCCAAGCCCAACATAGCACGGAGCAGTATCTCTGGAATAGGCAGTCTATGGTTGACCGGCTCAACTTCCTCCCATCTGCTAACCATGTCCCAGGCAACCCTCATGTGAGGCTTGAACAGCGGCATCAGTGTTTGCGAGTGCGCCAATAATTGTCGGTATGCACCTAACGAAAAGCCAGCGGTGTAGAGCACGTCCCCGTAAGCAGCAAGAACCAGAGCTAGCACTGGAGGGCATCGGAATATCGCCAGTACAGCGGCCTGGCTGATGCGTTCCTCCAACCAAGCCCTGAAAACGTTCCAAATATTCTCCCTGAGCTTGACAGTTGTGGCCTCAACCAGCTCAACGTCGAACAATGAACCTTGCCGAGGGACTCTGCACGGAAGCTGGGTAGGTGCTGCAAGTCACGAGGGGCATAGGAGCCAGTAAGGACATACAGCTTGGTTCGATCTTGGCTGATGCGAAAGTTGTAGTAAAAGTCCTTTATGTCTTCTGCTGACAGCAGAAGCTTTTCTTGTTCGTCGAGCTCCAGGTCCAAGAGGGCAGAGGCTGCACCTAGAGTCCGGAGCCACGGATGTCGGTCGGCATCAAGGAGTTGGATGGCTTTGCGTCGACAACGAGCCGCTCTTGATGTAGGTTCTTGGGGATCGCGCAAACCCCGCACGAGGCCAAGGGGTCAACCTCTGTAGCTGGGAAGATCGCGAGTCTGCCCCCAGCATCGAGCTGGGCCAGAAGATCAAAAAGGGCTTGGCGATCCGCTGTGCGGACTCGGACTCGGGGAGGTTCTTCCAGCAAGTCCTCGGTTGCTAGGCGATGCAACGAAGGCTCGTCACGCAAAGACCGAAGCTATTTATCCTGGAAAGACCGCGGATCAAAGCTGGGAGGAGGGGGAAAGCTGAGACGTTGGGTGTCTACATCTTTCGCCAAAGCGAAGGCTGGGGCCGCGAGCCGTTCTCCAGCTCGCACAGCCCGGAGGTCAGCAATCTGCTCCTCGATCTTTTCAACTTTCCCCGCAGCTCGTCCCATCGCAGCAGGAGTCACCGGCGGAGTCTCATTCCAAGCGTGCACTCTAGCAACCAACAGGGACCAACCAGACTCAATAGCCTTCCTGTGCGGGGCCGCTGCTGCGCTAGAAAAAGGTGAAGAGAGGGCGCCATCAAAAGAGCGCCGGGCACGCCGTCCCAAAAGAGTGTCCAAGCTCAACGCAATGAGCTGCATGGCCTGGGCGGTCGTCGGCCTTCTACTGTCCACAGAACGTCCCAAACTCGTCCACAAGGCCTGAAAGAAAGGGGGAGGGCCAGCACGGTTCCCTGCCCAACGAGCGTTGCGGTGAAGGAGAGCCTTCAAAGGGGCATCCTCCCGCAAAAGATCATGCAAAGAATTCCAGGTGTAGCGGACGCCCCAGGCAGCTCCAGAGGCTGCGAAGTCATCAGGGCCGGAAGCAGGCTCCACCCACAGTTGGCCCGAACTCACAGCTCGTGTAACTCACCTGTCTGCTGCCCTCGCAGGGGCTGACTTGTCACCTTTTCCAGCACCGCGTCCCCGGCCTCGTCCATGGCCTCCACTGTACTCATCCTCGTGGCCGTGGTCAGCCTGGGCACCTTTGGGCTTGCTCAGCTTGCACTTGGCATCAAGACAAGCTTCGGCCTCCTTCACTCGATGAAGCAGCAAATCAGCCCACCTCGGGTCGACGAGCCTACTGTGATAGGACTCAACAACGTCGCCGACTCCCTCACGTCTGTGTTGAAAAGACGCGAGCGGCGGCGGCTGCTCCAGAAGGACTTCCTGAGCTAGAACCCAACTACCACTATCTAATGCATGTTGATCGATGCTAGCCGTAGCCAGCGCGGCCCGGGCTCGGGCCTCAGCGACCCGGTCTTCCCGCAAACAATCCCATGTCCCTGCAATCGCCCACGCAAGCCTGAGCGATAGTACCCCAGCTTTGATCGGTGTTCTAGCCACACACGAGCACTGGCGGACGTGGATGCGAGGGGCCTCCGGCCCGGCGATTCAACAAATCTTCTTCCATCAATGCTTCGACGCTGCGATACACCTGCTCGGGTCGACGCTTCAGGCTCTCCCGCAAGAAGCGCCAAGCAGCTGTCTTGGAGCGGGCACCCGATGAGGAGCCGGCAGGCGCAAAGTCTGCAGTGGCCCCACTGTCACAGCCGTCCAGCAAATTCTCCAACGTCCGCTCCTTCGAGGGCCGGGAGCGCTGCTGCTTGGCAAGGCCCTGCACGATTTTGGTCAGCGTCACGACAGCTGCCTCGACTGGCTGGGCGGCAAAGCAGCTTCGGCAGCAAGGTCAAACTCGGGAAGCTCGGGCTCCCCTGCAGCTTCGGAGCTCAGGGGTGTCAAGCCTCCAGCAGCCTCAGGATAATCTCGCAACTGGCCTTTGGCACCAATCAGAAGGTCCCTCACTTCCTGAAGCTCTGACGCCTTGACTCCTGACCCAAGCGCGGCTCGCACGACGGCCGGATCAAGACCTTTGCAGCTCCAGGCGTGCGAGGGGTTCCAGGGATCTGTCCTCGAGTCGGCTTGGCCTTAGGTCGTTGCGCAGGTAGAGGAGCGGACCGGGTCGAACCCACAGCTGTGGGGGAGCTCAACAACTTAAGCTGCGCCGCCATGTCTGCGATATTGGCCTCCAACGCTCGGCTCCGGGCATCGGCTCCATCACTGGGCAGTCACGAAGCTGAAGTGCTCATTGGCGACCTGGACCAAGGCTTCAGCAAATGGTAGGACAGGCACCTTGCGTGAGCCAACTCCGGAGGCGAGGAAGATGGTGGTAGGCTCGGCTTCACCGTCTTGGGAGCAAATCTCGGAGAAGCCCGACCCAGATTTTCATAGTGTGGTCTCCGGCAGCGCCCCTATTCTCCCCTGCCGACGCCCGTACTTCTACCAACATGGGCTTAGTGAAGGGTCCTGGGGGAAGCTCGCGTTTTGACGGGGTCTTGCTCCAGGCACGGTGCGGGAAAGCGGCAACTACACGGTCTTCAAAATTCGCAACCAAGATCACTGCCACCCGCCTCCGGCTTTCCTCCTCCCCAACCGTCAAGCACCCGACCTCATAGTCGTAGCAAGTGGAGCCGCCTTGCCACACCAGGTGAAGCTCAGCCAGCTGCTCTTGGCTGAGCTCAGAGGCGCTCGGCGCCTCAGACATCGCGCACGGTAGGGAGGGCCAAGCCGGCCTCTTCACAGGCCAGCTTCGCTTCCCACTGGGACGGGAACCCGCAGAACACGCTGTCTCCGAGCAGGTGACCCTCGTGCACAGCTCTTTCACAGGCTGAAAACGTGTGTAAAGCACTGGAGGATGGAACACTTGGCCTTCGTAGTTCTTAATGACAACGTAAACTCGAGAAGCCAGCGGGTTTCTCTCTCGACCACTTTCACCCCTGGGCTCGCCTTCGCAGACAACACCCAAAAAATCTAGGGATAGAGAATGCTCCGCGCTCGAGGCGACGGGCCGCACGGTATGCTGAGGCTAGGGCTTAGGGTACCCAGGTTTTCAGGGAATGGAGTGTGGCCAGAAGAACGACCGGCGTCGTCCACTAACACAAAGTCCGGGCTGGCAGCCAGAAGTTCACGCACCCTGGAGAGTTCTTGACCTTGTCTGCTGACCTCGAAAGTCAGACCTTGCACGTTCGATATCAGCTGTTGTAGCAAGGCTTCGGTGCTGCTCATCAAAGGACCCGATAAAGCGGGCCGCTGCGATTGACCAAAGCTCGAAGCTGGGCTCGCACAAAAGCTATCCACCAAGTACGGAGCAGATGTAGCAGGTCCACGGCAGGACCAAGCACGATGCCCAAGCAGAGGCCGATGAAGACCGATCGGGGGTCTAAAGTGGCCCACTCAGCGAAAAGGCCGGGCGAAGGGCAAATGCAATCCGGATGCCACTCAGGGGCTCGGAAGACCGGATGCACTGAGGCCAACTCCTCTAAGCCCCGCCACACTACACTAGCAACCGAACCACCAAGCAGCCCCACCTGCAAGCTACGTGACATGCAAGGCCCTGAGCCGAAAAACTTCACATCCGACACGTCACATCATGCGAAGCCATTTGGGGGCGTGAAGGCCGAAGCCCCTGCCCACTTGGCGCGCCCCTTTTCTATTCCATCTTGACAAATTCACAATCCCTTGACTTGTGCTTTCTCTGCTTATTCTTCTTCTTCTTCTTCTTCTTCTTCTTCTTCTTCTTCTTCTTCTTCTTCTTCTTCTTCTTCTCATTTCTAATCTTCCGCCGGGCTTGCGCTCTCTCATTTCTTCATGCTGTTTGTCTCTGTTAGTTTCCGCGTGTTTTCCTTTGGTTGCTTCTTTCTTTGCCACCCTCGGTGTGGGGCTGTTAAGAATTTAAACTCAACTCTTCTCCTCGCCCGGTCTGCTCCTCGCCCAACCCCAGGGTGCCCAACCCCAGGGTGTCCCTGGAGCAGCTCAACCCCAAAATGTTTTTGGGAGTGCCCAACTCAGAGTGCCCTGGAGTGCCCAACCCCAGAGTGCCCTGGAGTGCCCAACCCCAGAGTGTCCCTGGAGTGCCCAACCCCAAAGCGTCCTGGAGTGCCCAACCCCAGACTGTCCCCAGAGTGCCCAACCCTAAAGAATCCCTACAGTGCCCAAGTGCCCCTGGAGTGCCCAACCCCAGAGTGTCCCTGGAGTGCCAATTTCAGAGTGTCCCCCAGAGTGTCCCTGGAGCATTGTATTTCTGTATTTCTTTCTTTCTGTATTTCTGTGTTTTTTTCTTTCTTTATTTCTTTCTTTATTTCTGGTGTCCTTTCTTTGTTTCCGCGTTTGTTTTTGACTTTTCTCTCGCTCTCTCTCTCTCTCTCTCTCTCTCTCTCTCTCTCTCTCTCTCTCTCTCAAAAAAAAAAAACAAAACGCATGGATCGAGGCACGGGCGGCCTGCCTTTTGTGCTACTCCCAAGACCATAGGCACAAAGGGCTATGGCCTTGGAAGACAACTGACATATGGGCAGAGCCCCACTCTCTCAGGCTACGCCGCTACGACGCATAAGTTTCCGACTAACAGCATCAGGAATGCTTCAACCTCAGAAATGAGCTCACAGCCTCAGAGCCTGTCTGCACCAGTGCCAAAAGGTCTTGGGCAGGTTGGTTGGTGAACACGGAGTGCCCGAACAGAGTCACCTCCATGCTCGGCGAGCATCTGAAAATCAGACTGACCTTCAGAGTCATCTGATGCAAGAAACTCGGCCTGCTTTCTTCTGTCAATGAGGAAGCCAGCGGCATAACCCAGTGCTGCCTCAGAGAGGGATGTTGCAACATCTACGAGGAAAGCGAGTAGCAGGCCAAACGTCAACCACATTCCACTCGATGCTCTGAGATGCTCTGGGCGAAGTCTCTGAGCGAAGTCTCAGAGATGCACTCCCGCTACCACCGTCGCCGCGATACGTATGACTGTTGATGCCAGTAGCAAGATGACATTGAGGCTTGGCCTCATGCTGCGACAAAGAGCGAGCGATGCAACGTAAGCTATGCAATGTGCAAAGCCGTGTTTCATGACCCAAATTCCCAAATTTGGACAAAATGACATTGTGGCAGGAGCTGACAGCGCTGTGAATACCTGGGCCACAAGAACGCAAGCAGAGTGCTCATCAAGGTGCTGCAAAAGTTCTGAAACCTTTCCAGATTCCAGACGACGACCTGCATCTGAGACTACCACTCCAAATAGGGTTAGCGCGAAGCTCGCCTAGCACAATGCTGCGGGGCGAATACACATACAGAAGGGCTCATTGACACTGTGACGTGACCGGTGTTTGCACGGCCTCTACTGGAGCCCAGCAAAGCATCAAGTAGGGCCTGGTCGCTGGGAGGGCAGCGAAGGGCTGGAGAGGAACAGGCGTCGCATCCATTGAGCTTGGACTTCCAAGTTGCTGGCATCGGATGCTGACTGTGCATCGCGCTGAACCTATGCAAACAAATTCTTGCCAAGCTACGGCAAAGCTTCGGTACAACTTCGGAAGAGCCTTCAACCACTCCTAGCGCTCCTGCCACTCCTACTTCTGAGAGCAATGCGAAAACAAACTGAAAAAAGCAACAACGAACCTGCATCTGAGCTCAAAACCTAGCCAAATGGGAAGTGGCAGTAAGGCATAGTAAGGCCCTGGCTCCTTCATCTTTGGTATCACCAGGCCATCACCAACGGCAACCAGCACGGTGCCAAGGTTCTGAGAGATGGGAACTCGGGGAACTCTCAAAACGTTGCTTCATGAAGTCACAGCTCGTCTCCGAATTGGGTGCCAGCATGTGCCAGCACAATCAGAGCACGCGCAAGTATCGCAAGCCCCTCTCATTTCCACTACTAAGCTTGGAAAGTGCAAAGCTGGGCTGAGTCCCCTGCCAGACCTTCAGCCCAGGTGAAGCCCAGATTACAGACCTGCGGGCGGACAAAAGCATGCAATCCCTCAACTGCAAGGATAAATGGAGCAGAGATCGCCAGAATTCTGAGGAAATTGTACTTCGGGGAGAACATCTACCCAAGAGAAAATCAATTTCAAGGCGAATAACACACAGCATCAAGCCCGCCAGGTTAAGTCACCCGAGTTGCGACCGCTCCCTGGGACGAGCGCGAAAGGTAAATCGAGGGAAAAGTAGAAAACCGTTTGAACTAGAAAATAGGAAGGGAGGGTTCCTCCTCCCTTCCCTGTATCGCAATAATGGGGCATCGGTCCGGCAGGCTGTAAGCATCGGCTACGTCGGCTAAGGTTGCCTCTTCATTCTCTTCTTAGCGCACGAGCCATTCGGCATTGGGTCTCTCCGCAAAAAGTGGGCAAACAGCCTCTCTTTGACAGTGTCATGGTTGATAAAGTGTCTGAGGTCTTCTGCTCGCTGGATCAAGTGCCCGCCCAGCAGAAGCCCCTGCCAATGCCCTTCCACATCAATGGCCCGAGAAGCTGTGTCAGCACGTTCTGGAGAACGTATTAGTGAGCCTCGGTGGGGTTTCTCCAGCTTGCTATGATCTGGCTTACAAAGCTCCTTCGCAAAGTCGTCTCACTGTGTGAGCAGAGATGTACTTCGAAGCTCGGCAAAGAACAAATACGTGTGGCTTGACACCGCTTCTGTGGCAGAAAGCAACACGTTTACGCCACTGCGGATCTCATTCCACGAGAAGGGCTTATGCCAGTCGCGATCGCTCTGGCTATCCGGATCGAGGTCTCACGCCGCGCTCAGAAACCGACTGTTTTTTGCCCATGGCTGCCCAGACCGCACAGATCTCATCACACACAGTATTCAGAATTCATCTTGGGCTTGCTGACTTGTGGCTGCTTCTGCCGGTGGTAGCGGCCATGCACTTCTCACCGGCATGCTGAGTTCTACTAATTTTATTACGTCTGCTGGTCACTGTGAAACGGACTACTTGACTCGTTTGACTAGTGAAGTTTAATAGTCCATCAGCCAATGCGTAAGCCGACGAGCTCAGCAACAACCAAAGCACGCAAGATACATTATGACATCTAGTTCCAACCCCTGATGAGCAAAAGAAACAATAAAAAGCACATCAAGAAGCTGCGGCGGAGCTGATGGTAGTCGAGACTTGGCGCACCGAATACGCTGCGATGGTTAGCAGCTCTGCTGTGCAAGGAACCAGGGCCAACACCTGAGCACAGATGCTCACGGCGTGGCTACCATGGGATTGGATTGGATGTGACCACTCCCTCGAGCCCCATACAAAGAAGTACGGCTTCAGATGAAGGATGGAAATCCTGAGTGGCTGTAGACATCTGTAAACCGTTCAAAACGTGCTAGAAACTGATGAGTCATTCTCTGGGGTCACAACTCCAGGCCTGCAGTCAACAGCACCTCATCACAACTGTTTCTGTTCGTGTTCGCACGCTTCGACGACCACACGAGGCGCTGACCAAGAAAAAAGCTAGTTCTTGCAGCATATCTCTGCCCATGAAAATGTCTTCCTGCATGTCGCAAAGCTTCTGAAAGCTGCTAACGGCGACAAACCCCAAACCGCCTGAATGAAGTAGCTGAAACTCCATCCAGTCAGTATGACACCGACCTTTGAAGCAGGCTGCGCTGGTCAAACTTTCCTTGACATTGTGGGCGGGGTCCGGACGGATGCAGGCAAGCTTAGACTCACAAAGAGTGTTCGAACCTGACATGAAGCACATAATGCAACTGCATGGCGAATAGTATTCAAACTCATCTGAACTGAGTTGATCGAATGCATTCGACCAAGGCCAGTGCCAAATAACCGACCTGAAGCACGACATCCATGGCAGCCACAACAACCATCAAATGAAATGAAACTGCGGCTGTGACTACGGCCGACTGAGGCAAATACAAGCAGCAAGTACGCCAGGCCAAGCTGAAGGGGATATTCTTTTGGAAGCTGTGCAGCTTCCTTTTCAGCACTTGGATGCATCTACATCCCGGCAAACAGCACATGAGATGGGAGTATCATGCCACAGTTCGTCGCAAATACTTCCTTACATACCTTTTGTGCCGTCACCTGAATTTCCACATGGATACGTCAAGATACGTCTTCGCGTCCGATGCACCAATATTGCCGAGGCGCCACAGGAATCGCGGATGGAGATGAAACATCATCATGCATGTTGGCTGGCAATTTACACCGAAATCCACAAGACGCTACTGGATGTCAACCTACATCTCCATGTAGCCATCACGAAAACAAGTGGACTAGACTCACGGACTAGACTCACAAGTGTGTTTTTCACGACGCTAGTGGTACTTTCTTCATATTCGCCCCCCCAACTATTGAGCAAGACCGCAAACAACGCCATGGATGCCAATGGTGAAAATCACAACACACAAGCGAGCATCAGCCTATGACCCACAGAAAGTTCAACAAAACGTGGCTTTTTCCCTTTCTAATCAACTGCTATGCTAATAAATAGTTGAAAACGATGCAAAATCAGGTTGGGCAAGTGGCACAAACACAACTTGATCAGCAAGCACGCTACTATGCAGCAAAACACATTCGCGACGAGCCTAGAACAATGTGACGAAATGCAATCCCAAAGTAGCATGTAATATATGCACAGGCAATTGTGAGCAACGAACCTTGCACAACAAAACTCACTGAAGCGAACTGACAATGGGTCCGAGACGAGACTGAAGCAGCAAGTTCAAGAGAGGCCTGCTAGAACTGGAGCCAGCATTGCAACTCGTGGCATGCAAACAAGCTAAGTTGTTGCAGAGTGTACGCTGCCAAACAAATCGGCAGGTCTATTCTCTTGTGGCATGTACGTCTCAAAAAGCACACGCCAAGTACACGCGATTGTGGTTTTTCGCAAGGGGACTTGCGGATCTCTGGTAAAGCGCCTTCACCATTCAGTGATGTCCCAAAGTGTGCGAGCACGTCACATCGAAGTGGTCAGTGTCGGCAAGTGACCGCCTTTGTCGCAATACGGCAATCAATCCAGGGTGCCACGTTGGCCGTGTTTGCGAACCGGCCTGACAGCTGCCCGCGCCATCAAGGCCACATAGTCCACAGCACTTACCCTTCTCGGAAGTGAAGTGGTGCCAGGAAAGCCAGAGCAGACAGCGCGAGCACCACCCCCAAATGTGACCAATGCAGAATTGGTACGGCATGTTCTCTTGCAAGGTGAATGGAAACCAACAGCACGAGAGAACAGTTGCAGACATGAGGAAGGTGTCTACACGCGCGCGATGAGTTCTCAGCGCAAAGCAGAGGCAACATCGAGCGAGATTACTAAGAGAGAGAGGTGGAAACTGAAGGGCAAGAACGAGGTAGAGCACTTTTGGCTCGACCCGGCAATGCCCTGTAATGTTTGGGAACCTTCTGATGTTCAAACCACGCGTCGGCGACAAATCTTGAAGATCGTTCCAGTGCGTACATGTCGGTGCACAGCACTGAAAACTTTGGTGGGAGAAGAACAGTGCAACTTGGCTGAACATCCCTGCATGTCCGGTCCAGTTGGATCCAGCGGGAACGGCCTTTCCTTCTTGGATTCGGAACTGTGAGACTTTGGAAAAGCGAGATCCGGCATGACAACTTTCGAGCAGCAGTTGCAGGCCACCGTGCATGTGAGCAATTGCGGCAGTTGTCTGAGCTCCTCAACCCGGAAACACCTTGAATTCCCTGCTCTATAATCCCGATGTGTCTCAAGGTTGCATTTTTGAACCCAGCTCCCAATGGTTCCAGAGCTTTGTTCGCCCAAACAAACCAGAGCAAGGTTGGGGGGGGGTTGGAACCTGGGTTCAACCCAGGTTCGAACTCCCGGCCCTCCGTGTTAGGATTGAGCTTTACTTCCTGCACATGTACATTGTCCATTGCATGAACAACGTGCAACACTGACAGAGAACATTGGCATGTGGATATGGCCATGTCCATGATGCATTGGCTCAAGTGGCTCAAGATTGCGTTTCTGCCAACGGGGCTCAATGAGCTCAGTTCTTCTTCACGTCAAGACGGCAATAGCTTTTGGTTGCAGTCAATCTACCCGAAGGCATTCTTGGATTTGGCAACCTTTCTGTACCAAAGGCTCGTCGCTTCGTGTGGCACTCTGAGAAATGGCTTGATGTCACAATGAGTAGGTCAATGTGACTCAAGATGCTCAACACGGCAGGTCTTGCAACATAGGTGGAGTTGCAGTGACTTTCCAGATCCAAGTTCAATACGGTGTCCAACACCGTACCGAAGATCTCAATGAAAGCAATCCAATCGCATTCATTCGTCTTCTTCCGGAAACAATGCAAAGCATCCCATGAAGCAGTCACTGGCAGACTGCAAACAAAACCAATCACTGTTCGTGCAATTGAAATCTGCAGCATGAGAACAATGACAGAACCAAACTAATTTTGTAAAGCCTCAATACTGTACGAAGAGGTTCAAAAGAAGCAGCTGACCAATGAGCAACGCTGAGACAATGCTGTCACTCAAGTAGAACCAACCAGGTTGCATCCAATGCAAACCAGAAGAATCCCACGCGCAGCTTTGCAACGGCGATCAATACGCTGCTTTAGATCAGGGTCAAGGAAGCAATCTCAAATTTGCACTCCGAAAGAATGACCCTTCTCACAACTTGCAGAACCGAGGAATGCCACGTAGAGATAGCAATGCCGGATATATGGCTTCCTGAAACCAGTGTATGTCAACCGCAAAGAAGATATCATCAATCAAGTCGGCCTGAAATAAAATAGTAGATAAGCAAAGCGATCCATAAAACCATTCCATCATCCAAAGAACTCTCATGCACTGATACAGTCGCCAATAACAGTCTGACTCCACGTAAAACTTGAATTCCAATCCTACAACTTTGGGTTGTGAGCTATGCAACTTTGGCTTATGAGCCCAATGAGGCGTTCCACCAAGCTCGCGGCTACCAGCGACGCTACCAGCGATATTCGATCTCACTGCGGTCGAATGAATGCAATGACTTGGTTTGCACATAGAAAAACACGGAAATAAAGAATCACAAGCAATGAGTTCACAAGCGCTGACCAATACCACGAAGACAAAGCAACTGCGAATACTTCCAAGCATATGTCAATCCAATCAAAGATCCATCGTCTCGCTTTCAATGACCAGAGTGGTCAATGCACAACGCTTGCACAATCACCACCAGTGTCCATATTAGCTCTTCGTGACCGTCATACAATCAGGCGTCATTGGTGATGTCCTCTGCAATACACATAGGACCATCTGTCTGTCAAAGGGCAACGTCAAATCGTGAAATCACAATCGCATCGGCGAAGTGTGCGATGTAAGGATCAATGGCACTCAACAATTGCCATGAAGAAACATCGCGCGGAAGCAATATCCGCACAACATGAAAATCAGAAGTCAGACACCAATCCTTAGTGCATCCTTCTCAATCCAGCATGTTGCCACAGCATCTGGCGCTTTTCGGGCAACACTACAGGCAATCTCGCCAGTCTTCTTCTCGTAAAGCAATGCTCTAAACCAAAAGGCGTTCGACAACGGGCTACTCTCGCTGCGCTGAAGAAGCAGCAAAGCAATCAGCTGTAGGAAATGATGCTGCAATCCTGCAACGATGCAGTGAACCAGACACAAGCTCAATCCATACCTGTCAACAGCTTCTCGAGGTCAATAAGCTGTTGTCAGCCAAGCGCTGGGCAATGGACTCCAGAGGATGAGCGCGTCGCCAGAAAACCACAATGCCACTGACATGCTATATAAGGAGAAATGGGTAAGCCACTTCTCACAATCGGCACCACGCAGAAAATAGCACCACTCGTTCGCGCAACTGTTCACCAAACTCACATGCTAACTGCAATGTAGTATACACCGCCAAAGTAAAGGAACAATGCTTCATCTTGTGATCAGTCCGCAGAACGCAAACCAATCTGCTGCGGTCTTGAAAGAAGGAATTTGAATCACGCACTCAATGTGCAAGCAGCGCAGGTAGTGACGATGAGCTGCTGCACAATGAAACTCTGAGTATTTGTGTTGAACAACACAAACTCAATCTGTACAATGCAAACGCCATCTTCGTGCATCTCGAATGGTCTTGCTATGGCAATCCGAAGAACCAAAAGCAATCACTGGCACTGAAGGAAAAAATCATCATTCATGTACTCAATACAAACTATGAAGTCAAAGTCTGGAATAATACTCTTCTGCCATCTGCACAGTCAACCAATCCGAGTGGACATGCAGTTCGTGGAATCATCAAAGTGTGTCTCCAATTGTTGAAGCTATACAAGAATACAACCAGTCTGAACAAACGAAGTCCTGGGACAATGCTCCAGGCAATCCGCGGAAGCCATTTCCAGCAGACTGAACAGCAACCATTTGTCCTTACCACTTGTACTCGTCGCAAAGAAAACGCAATCGCAGTACTGGAGAAAACCATGGCTACAATCAGGGATCAGGGCGTAGGACGAATCAGCAATCGCATCTGGAAAGAAAACAACAACACTAGGTCAAGGCCAATCAGAATGGTCGCTTCTTCTATGTACACGAACAGGTATGCACAATTCTGCTCCTGACGGAACAATGGAGGAAAATCACCTACCAATGTTTCCTTAGGTCTGGCTCCTATATACAATTGCTCCTCGGCAATAGGAAACAACTTCGGGCAATTCACCCTTTGGTCGGTTCCTAAAGTTGCTCAGCGCAATTATTCAAAACAGGTTCTTCAAAGCCAACACTAGACCACAACGCTCTCGCGAACTTTCTGGAAGTCCAATCCTAACGAGCAACATGACCGAAAGCTAAATGCAGCACAAATAGGGTCCAGGCAATGAGCAACTGTAACTAAGGCCTGGACGGCGGACGACAACAAGCAGCTGAGGAATGTGCATCAGTGATATCAACAAATTTCACACCGAATTTTCACGCAAAGAAGCGCCATCGGCTCTTCACGATATCAATCTCTAAGATGCAAAGAAAGCAAACCACACACGACAGCTCGACCAACGAAAATATAGCGCAAATCAGCCACTCAATCAACGCATAAATCAGATTAACAATTCAAGCCTTCAAGCAATGCCTGGAGCCAATGCCGACTCCTAGAGTCAATACTGACTCCTTCCTCCTCTCCGTCCCTCGGCTAAGGCTTCAGCCGCAAGCCGAACAACAAAAGGGATGGGAGGGCGGGAGAA